AGTGACATTGTTCAAACAACTAGTAAAATTATACTGGGTGACTTTTTATGGTCTGGGAAATCATATCGTGTTTTGTGTAAGTGGATAGAAGCTATCCTCAAATATCCTATATATAATATAACCTAAACACCTAGGTTCAAAAACTTTACAGTAAACATGTAAGTCAAAGTTATATATCCAAATTTAGAAAAAACTCGTTTGGTGTACCTCAGGGTAGTGTACTAGGTCCACTCTTAGTTTTGGTATTTTTAAATGACTTACCTGAGATTACTAAATATAGAAGCACTTCATTCGGAGATGACATCTCAGTAATAGTCACAACAAATAAAAATATGTCACTGACAAAACATATGTTTGACATTAATGAAACAATCTCTAATGTAACGAAATGGTTAAGTAATAACAAATCAAATCAAATCCAATCAAATAATTTATTTGTAAAGCATAGGTAGAAAGTTACAAACTTGGTGGAAAAGGTATGGTAAGTAATACTATGTTTCGCCTAAAAAGGCATACAAATATTTGTTTATCACCTGGCAATATGAAAATTTATTTTTAATAAAATTCAATTATAATTCGTATGTTTAGAAATTACATAATTCTTAACATCATAAAGATAAATAAATCGGACATTAATTATTATAGGTACTAAAAACCATTCATTTTATCTTCAAAATATTCGTTGATAGAGTAGTATGCTTTATTTATTAAAAAAACTCGAAAGCAATTTCTTAAATTTGTCTATATTATCAGTTTCTTTGATATTTTGGGAGTTTATTAAAAATTTTAGGAGCCATATCCAGAAAACTTTTTGAATACAGGACTGTTTTATGAGGTTTTCTACGTACAATTTAACAATAAATTTAAATAAAACCAATGATAAATTTCAATAATATAAATAGCAATTTAATAAATATTAAATAATGGACACTCTCTGTAGTGCTACAAACTTAACATTCCTAGGTATGATTATTGAAAAGAATTAAAGTGGAAAGAACAAGTAAAATAAACAATGTAATAAAGTAAACAGGTTCACAAATGCGCTTTGCAGAATAACAAAAGTGGCATCAAAACAAACTGCAATTATGATACGGGATTATAATTTGGGGTAACAGTGCAGATATTAATAAAGTTTTTATAGCACAAAATGTAAATGTATTCGTGCCATTTTATGATATAATTTTGTTGGTCCAGATGTCTCATACCGGCCTCTACTTAAGACATTAGGGTTCTTACCCGTGCCTTGCTTGTATATCTTAGAAGTTTCCAAATTTATCAAACAGCACGGGAAGAGTTTTTATAAACTTAATAAAGAAGTGGTATCCATGAACACGAGATACCCAGATCGGATAGTAATCAACGAAATACCTAAAGTAAACGACTTGGCAAAAGTTGTAACTGGATGGGTAAAACAATATAATATAATAAAATACCACACACAGTAAAAGATCTTCCCATACAAACATTTAAAAAAAATTACACTAGTGTCTTCTTCAAAATACATTTTACTCTGTTAATAAGTTTTTGAATTACTGATGACAACTTTTTTTAGGACTATAGCTCATAATTGACATTTTATAATTAACTGACATGGTATATGATAATATTGTCTAATTAAATTTTCTTTAACAATTCTTTGGTCATGCCCGTGAATGATTAAATACATGTAAATTGAAATTATGACATTGACATTGTAAATTACTTATGACATGATGAATTTTATATATTACATTGAATAAGTTGACATTTTAGAATCTACTATCACCTATACTTGGTAATTTTGAAAAGTTTGCATGCTATATCCTACGGCTAAATAGGTCTTTAAACAACTTATTTTTATTGTAATAACATAATACTTACCATATTTATGGCAAATAAAGAAATTTGAGGTGTGCAATATACTATGAACATTAGCGACGTTGTAACTAGGTTTGAACTCGGTAAGTTTGCTATCAAAGAGTGATCCTTCTGTTCTTGTACTATTATTTACTCTGTCGAAAACGAAAAATAAACGACATTATTGTAGACGGTGTAGGCTGCGGTCGCTGGTGAACGAAAGTCGTAAGCGCGAGCGAGACGCATGCAGATTTCTTTCGTTAGGAGTTCATCGTCGCCATACAACACTTTATTTTGCATTACAATGAATGAATAAACAGTTTCTAACAATAATTTTTATGCCTACCGTATACTGCAACATCTTATTTAAAACATCGAAATAAACTTATTTACAAAATACATTGATTGAGAACAAAATTATGTTACATTATTGTTATGTAAAAAATTTACTTTTTAGCGATATCACAGTTATTTTAGGTACTGTTTATTTATTTATTAATATACACAAACTGGCACGTCATTGTAAATTGTTTGTTAAACTTTCACTCACCTGTGGTAACACTAATCATTTTAGTTCGGCCTACAATTAAAATTCTAGAGGTGTTAGGTCTGGTGATCTCGCCGGCCAATTCACAGGTCAACCGTAACCGTAACCTATCCACCCATAAAGGAATTGGCTGTCCAGATACGCATGCATGCAGACGCGCGTACAGATCGTTCGTAATGCGCTAGACATCCGTCGTGATAATTACATTCCTTGTAGATGGCTCAGGGGCTCTTCCTTGTACTTGGTAGAGCCACGCTGCAGCTATGTATTATGGTTGTAGCACGAATGGGCCGGCTTGACCAGAGAAGGCTCTCACAGAATACCAGCGTAAAATAGCTGTATGTGTGTGTTAATACTGCTTTGTTTCGTATGGCGAGTGTAGAGTTCCGAAGACCCATTTTTATGTAGATTATTACAACAGTACCAATCTATTCAATGGTTAACATAGGAATGATCAATTATAGTGATTTGTAAATATTAAATCGCATTCTTTTGTGATGATTTCTAGCGCAAGTCGCAACACGAAAGAATGCGAGATAAGCTTGTTCATTCATTTTTTTATATATAGAAGAAGGGGCAAACGAGCATGCGGCTCACCTGATGTTAAGTGACTACCGCCGCCCATGATCAACCGCAACACCAGGGGAATTGCAGGTGCGTTGTCGGCCCTTTAGAAAGGAGTAAGCTCTTTCTTGAAGGTCCCCAGGTCGTATCGGTCCGGAAAAATCGCCGGTGGTAAACTATTCCACAATGAGGTCGTACGCGGAAGAAAACTCCTTTTGAAACGTGGTCAAGTGGAAGGAGCTGGTACTGGTGATGCTGGTAATGATGGTATGAAATACTGTCTCGCTCTGCTGAGCACGCCAAGCATTTTAGAGTCCAATTTGGCCTTCTCTTCCAAGTGACCACGAAACTGCACGTCACTCGATATGTCGACGTCGAGGATTCCGATACTGGCTGAGGCAACAAGGGGAGTGCCTTGAAACTGAGGGGATACGACAAAGGGGTTCTTTTTAGCGGTTAACGTGCAAACTTGTGTCTTCTGGGGGTTAAACTGGACTAGATTTAGTCGTCCCCAATCCGAAACTCTGTTCAGCAAAGACTCGACTTCAGACACAAGTTTGTCCCGGTACTCGGAGACGTTTTCCCGAGAAATATTGGCACGGCCGGTGTAAATAGCATCACCAGTGCTATCATCTGCATAGCAATGAATGTTACCGGTTTGCAACATATCATTGATATGCAGAAGAAACAGCGTTGGCGATAGCACGCAGCCTTGTGGAACACCAGCATTAATACGTTGACTGCGAAACGAGGCTTGAAACACCTCGTTCGTGTCTCGTCGTTATAGCGGTAAGGAAAAACTTAAACTTCTCTGTCGTGCGAGAGGCGTAACTTCCGTTTGCTTCAGTCTAGGAAAGAGATAACTATATATCTGTGATGTGCTATTGATGCCGAGTTTTTTGGTATATCTACCTTAATACCGGATTTTTTAGGCCTCGTACCGCACTGAATAAATTAAAGTTTAAAACAGTGCGTTACGAGGTTGCGAACACCTCGTACCCCGCACACCTCGTACCGCTAGCTTTACGCGGTTAGTGTTGTGCAAAACGTTGAACGCTGCACCCGCGACCATATAATAAGATGTCGAAACGTTGCCGAAGAAAGTTAATTAATAATATTATTGATGATGAAGAGGAATTGGGTGGTAAATCTAATTCTAAATTATCGATATTTGAAAAAACAGGTAAGTTTCCAATCAATATTTTCAAATTATACTCAGTCTAAGTGAAATAATTATGTAGGAATATGAAACACTAATAAATTCAACTGACAAAAGCAAAATACACACAGGTCGTAGGGTGTTATTCATAATAATTGTACGTTACGGATATGAAAAAGATATGAAAATAAATTTAATGTAACAGAAATGATAACATATAGGAATTGTAAAGACTAGTACATAACATGCATAAATTTAAATATAAGTATTATTTAAAAGATGGTCATTCATTTTATCCAGGAGATTAATAAAAAGCTGTTTTGATTATCAGTAATTTTAATAGAAGTAAACAGACAAAAAAGATCATTTATGCATAGATAATTGAAGGTTGTATATTATATTATTATATCAAAATAATAACTATTTTTAAAATTACTTTCCTATACAATAAATTGATGTTAATTTGCAGAAAACGTGATTATGATTTATGATTGTAAGAAAAAGTAATTTAATACTTTTAAAATTGCTTTATTACAATTAATTTAGGAAAGTAATTTTGAGTAATCACTTGATATGGAGTGGCAAAAAATAATTAATATCCCGGTTTGAAACTTTATGGTGACATTAATCAATAACAACAATATAGGAACATAACACCCTTCTTTGAAACATAAAAGTTAACTTAAACGACATCGTAATGCGATTTTGTATTTTTATTAAAATATTGCGTTAAAAAGTGATGCATACAATATGCTATACAATAGTTTAGAATAAGTATTCTAAACTTTTGTATAGCCTCGAAATATATAAGAAATTTCCATAGTCGTGGCATGAAATACAACACCACAAAATTAGCATAATTATTATTTATTTTGTTGTGTACAAAAATGTGTATTAGAAACTATCTTCACTATCATCAGATAAATGAAAAAAGAAATTATTAAGACGTTTGTCTTGAGTTTTCTTTAAGACACCTATTTTACCGTCGGTATTAGAAACAGAAGGTAATAATTCATCTGGCGTGATCAGCTCCTTAAAATCTTTTCGTATATCATTTGTAGCTATGTTATAAGATTTTGAAGATCCTATTAGATTTTGCAATGTTTCTCGGTTATAATTAACTTTAATATCGGAGAGAATAGTTACTTGTGAATTTTGTGTTCTATTAGATTTTATTGACAAAATACGTTTATCGGGTACAATTTCTTCATCAACAGGGAGATCACTTGATTCAGAAGATGTTGATGGAAGCCTTTTTGCACGTTTTGTAGGTTTTAGTAAGTTATGATTCTTTAGTAAATAACAATCACACATTCCCCTTTTGGGTGAACGAGCACAGAAACAGCTTAAAATTCTTGACGCAATATTGTGTGAATGATTTGTAGTTTGTATTTGATGTATTTTCATATTATTGGGGACAGGTATAAGCGATATCAAAGATGCCTTATAATCTTCCTTAATACTGTTTATGTCCTCTTCATCAATGCAGAAAAGTTTAACGCTGGTTTCTTTTTTTAAAAGATTATATGCAGATTCGGCGTTGAGGACGTCACTGCCATGTGCCACTTTACTGTCTAAAAGCCTTTTAATAACACCACCAACGCCATCGGCAGCACCCTTTCCATGGGCGGCTTCAAAAAAATTCCATGTCCCAGTTAAACCAAAATCTTTCATGATTGTATTAAATAAAAAAAAGTTTTTCTTTTGCCGGTACTGTGTCGTTGGCCCATCGGAAAAAACGTGTAGTGTGTCAATTTCTGGTGATTGTTTAATTATGTGGGTTAAAATAGGTTTTAAATGTGCCCATATTGCTTCTGGCGAATGGTCAGTTGCATCTGATAAAGTACAGTAACTCTATGGTTTTTTATTTTTTTTGGTATATCATACTCGTATGCAAAGATATCTGATATTGAGAGGCCCCAAAGTGAACGGCTTGGATCTCTTGAAACATTTTACAAGAAAAATTCTCCGAAAAATCACAATGTAAGAGAATTTCATTAGTTTTAAGATTATCCTTCATATCTTTATACATTTTGTATTGATGGCTGATATTGTATAAATGAATATTAAAATCCTGTAGGTCTCGTTCAAATTTAGTCACTAAATCTTTTAAAGCGCCAGTCTTAATTTCTTTTACATTTCGTTTACATTTCTTTATTAAATTATTCTTTTTATATTCTACTTTTTTAATAGACCACTCCAGCCATGTAACATTTTCATCAAGTGTAATTGTAGTTAAATCATATGTTATTTTTTTAACTTTACAGATTGTACATTGCCCATACATACATTTCTGAGAGTTTGAATTGCAAACTAAAGATTTAACCAGATCGTTTATACTTTTATGTCCAATTAGAACTGATAATTTTTTGAGGGTGGCAAATTTTAATTCAATATTTGAATGCTTCTTGCACACGCATGTATCGCGGTCTGAAAGTTTTGGCCTGACTACATAAAAGGGCTTATTTCTTAAAAATGTCGTGTAAGACAAATTAATTCCTGTATCTTGTTTAAACTTGTTATATAAATTAGTTACGTTGTCAAGTAGATATCTTTTTTGTATCTTCAATTTTTTTAGGGTCTTTGTCTCTTTCTTCCCAGCAGTTGTTCGAGATACATCATCTTGTAAATAGAAATCTCGTATTATGCTGGCAAACACTGCATGTTTGGTATTTTCTTGTGTTATTGTATTACGAGGCCGACCTTTTAAACCAATACAGTAACCCAATCTAGTTTTCATTTTATGTTCTTGAACCACAGCATTGCTGACTACATTTTTTAAAATATTTCTTTCAGCGTTACTTTTAGCATTCTTGTATGAGTTTGTTAAACATTCGCTCAATATGTTCTTTTCGAGTATAACTTTTCTTATTTTATCTTTTTCTGGTGAAGGTACATCTTTTAACTGCTGAATGAAGGACTCAGTTTTTAATATTGAAGAAGTTGGCGTTGTTGGTAATGAAGGTTCAACATTTTCTTTACAGTCATCTCTATAATTTTGCTGACATGTCAATAACAATTTGTATCTATAAACTCTTTTTCTTAGAGAATCTACATGCTTTTTCAATATATCTATTTTTCTTTTTTGCTTTTTATTTTCTTTGGTAATTCTGTAATATCTTTCTTTATATATTTTACGACTAGAGTTTTTGTCTGTTTTGTCATTGTGATTCAACTGTTTTTGTTTCAGTTGCCGCCAAATTTTACGTCTTATAACTTTTTCGGTCTCTGATAACTCAGAAATCTTTTTATAATTTCTTCTTTTTTTCTCAGCATCTTTTTTCTTTTCTTCATTCCATTTAATAGGATTATTTTGCTTTAAACGTTCTCTATATCTTTTTTGTCGCTCTGCTGATGTCAATGGCATTTTATCTAAAACAAAAGTAAACATTACCTGTATTTTTATTATACATACTTTTTTTAAATCCCGCTCTATACAACAATTTATCTAAAAATGTAAAATATCTATCATGCCATTTTACATTAAAAATGAAAAGTAACTATAATAATTAATCTGAACATTATTGATTAAAATTGTTATCATCCGGTTTTAAGAGAAAATGAAATGGTATATCATTGATATGGGAGCATATATGTAATATTAGATATTCCTCTAGTTTTTAAAAACTGCATTTACTAAAGTCAACTTTTCATAGTTTTAAGATTGATTCAACGATCAATTCTAAAACAATGAAAAGTTTTTCCGTAAATAGTCAATTTCCTGCTTATCTATCAGTTGTATCTAATTCCACTGTGTAACATTAGTGACATCTTCAGAAACTCAGCACCAATGCAAGATTCGTATGTTATGAAGTTTGAAGTACATAAGTAGATATTAAAAATATTTGATAACTTACTGATGATTACTTTGTAACTCAATAATCTACAAATATATTAATATCCGCATAAATTGAAACCTTTATAAATAGATGACCCACATTTTAAAATAAATAGGTTAGCAATTTTCTATTGAACAATTAAATTTGCTATATATACGCAGCTTTACCTATTCATATCTGTTACGTAACAGAGAAGCGTAACGGAGAAATACCGTATATGAAAACTTAGCACGTGTCTAAACTACAAAAAACTTTGTGGTAACGTCATCAATTAGTTTTGACAAATTCCTTCTACCGATTTCTCTTCCGCAACCACGATCCTTTTCTCATAATAATATAAAACCTTGAAAATACTTACTGAATTTAAATACACCACAAAAATGAATATCACAAATAAATGTCGAATGTCGAATGTTACACACAATATTGATGGCACTGAGTGAAAGAACAAATGGCCGAATCGACAGTCACGTCACCTGTTTACAGTGTTTGTTGTGTAATGTTGCCAGTAAATAATTTTATTTCCAAGTTAGTAATAATGTTGTAAAACACTGTAACCGAGAAGAAAAACAGAGATGAGTATAATATTGGACATTCATTTAAATATGTAAATATTATGTATACATTACTGTTTGTTTTATTTATTTCATAGAATAATGTATTTTAATGGATAACCATACCAAAAAACTTTTAAGTTGTATTCTAAACTAATTCGATTTTTTTTAAATAAATTTTTAATGTTATCTTAAGTAAAGATGGACCATGAATTTATGTATGAAATTTCTGTGGGCACAGTTTGAAAATTTGAAATATTGGAATATATTTTAGTTTCGATAATTTTACTGAGTATTATAAATTGTAGTTCTACACTTTTAGAATTAGGGTAAATAAAATTTTGCTAATATTGAAACAGCAAATAAAAAATAAGCGAGCTGGACGCGGAGAGAGTAGTAAATGTACAATTTTCGTGAATAACACCCCGTAACGATCCCATACTTATGTATAGAAATGCTCCAATAAATCGCTACACCTAATCAACCCGCTTCAAAAATACGCTATCAGTTTTTTTTTCAGAACCCGCTCTAAACAATCCACATCATCTCGAAAAAGGATCAAAGAAAATGAGATGTGTAGGATGCTACGAAAAACTTCGCACCTTCTTATCAAGTCGTGAGGCTGACAAAATAGCAAAGAAAATTCTCACAGAATGTATCTGTTGCAAAAATATTATTTTTGCCCTGTTTTAATAAAAAGCATCCATAAGTACAATTAAATAAAATCGATATTTTTTTCTCATCACTAAACAATATGAAAAACTGCCCTTTTTCAGTGCGGTATGCGGTACACAAGACCCCACATTTTATTTTACCTATAGAATTTAAACTAAATAATCCGCCCACAGGCGGCGGCAGATTTAGGTTAATCAACTCATTCTTAATGATAATCGCGACAAAAACCACACAATTCGCCTTATTTGGCGCCAAAAAAAGGATTTTTGTCTCATGTGGGCGGTGGGGTTTATTAAGCCTCGTGCCGCTACAACCTCTGGTTCAGAACGAGGTTTCAAACGTCTCGTAACGCAGTAATGGAAAGTACAGATAAATCAGTGCCGCGGGGAACGTGTTAATAGGCTTGTAATCAGAGCTTGCACCGTCTACAACGACCTTGATGCTCCGATCTGCAAGAAAGCTGGTATGGGAAGCCCATAGGAAGGTAGCTTCGAAAAAAGCGCTCTGTGCCAAACCCGATCGAAGGCCTTCACAATGTCCAAATTAACGGCCAATGCCTCCCCCTTGGACTCTACTGCCTCCACCCATCTGTGAGTTAGGTAGACTAGAAGATCACCAGCTGACCGACCACGGCGAAAACTGTATTGGCGATCACTAATCACCTGGTGATCCTCAAAGTACCTCATGAGCTAGCAGTTTACAATGGACTCCATTGTTTTGGAGAAAAAGGAGGTTATGGCGATAGGCCGGTAGTTGGACGGGTCTGAGCGGTCGCCTTTTTTAGGGATCGGGTGGACGAAAGCCGTCTTCCATGATTTTGGAACTATGCCTAGGGAGTAGGAGTACCGGAAAAGACGCGTTAAAACCGGTGCCAACTCTGGATCACACATCCTCAGCACAATTGGGGAGATTCCGTCAGGCCCACTCGACTTGTGGATGTCCAGGGAGAGGAGTGCTTTGCGAACCGAGCGCTGTGTGAACTGCACTTCCAACATGGAGCACTCACACCGCGGGATGGTCGGCGGCGTACTCCCCCGTCATCGAGAGTCGAGTTGGACGCAAAGAAAGAGCCCAGCAGGTCGGCTTTCTCCTTTGCGGTATGGGTCAGTGAGAGATGTGCAAAGATGGAAGAGATGGCTGACAGAAATTCTCCTGGATAGCCTTGGCGAGAGATCAGAATGTCAATTCAGCCTATGTGCTCTGACTTTGCCTTGGCAATGACTCTTTTGAAGGACCTAGAGGCGGAATTATACTTCTTTTTTAGAGCGCTGGTATTTACATCCCGGGACGTTGATGCGTCAGCCCAGGCTTGGTAGTACTCCTGCTTATAACATGATGCTATTTTACAGGAGCGACCAAACCATGGTTGAGATTTGCCTCCAATGGGCACCACAGAGGAAGGAACAAAAAGTTCCATACCCTGAAGTACCACATCAGCGACAGAATCCGCAACAACGTTGGGATCGTCCGGCGAGAAGCAAACCCGCCCCCAAGGGTAGGATGCAAAGAAAGACCGCATCCCACTCCAATCGGCTGACCTATAGTGCCAAACACGGCTGCAGCCTGCAGAATGCAACTGCGATTTCAGCGTGAGTGGCATCACACTCCGGACAAGACAATGGTCCGAGGAGCCTAAAGGGGCGTCAACGGAAATCTGATATCCGTCCGGGTGAGAGGTCAGCAGAAGGTCCAACAGGGAAGGTCCTCCATGCATGCAGGCATGATCCTCTACATCTGGAATCCGCGTAGGCGAAGTAACCAGTTGTGTCAGACCATATGCCAAGGCAAAATCATGAACAGATCTCCCCGCATGATCGGTTAAACGTGAACCAAGCCATTCGGCGTGATGGGCATTAAAGTCGCCGAGGATCACGATCTCTGCAGAGGGGATCTGCTGTAGCAGCGAATCTGTAGCCATTTGGACGTGGTCGAGGAGTCGGTCTGTTTCGGCATTACCGCTATGGGACCTATAGAGGCACCCGTAGACGCGCGGATAGTCGTCGCTGTCTACGCGAAGTCAGTGTATGGTTGTTTGACCGCAGTGAATCTACCAATACTACGTTTGTGTTACTTCAACGCATCAATGGTCATGGACGCTAGTGTTTATTCTATTGACAAACTTACATTTCTTTCTGTTGTTTTCTTACGTGTGTGTGTGTGTGTGTGTGTGTGTGTGTGTGTGTGTGTGTGTGTGTGTGTGTGTGTGTGTGTGTGTGTGTGTGTGTATGTGTGTTTGTGTGAGTGTGTGTGTGTTGGGTGTGTGTGTGTGTGTGTGTGTGTGTGTGTGTATGTGTGTGTGTGTGTGTGTGTGTGTGTGTGTGTGTGTGTGTAAGGATGTGTGTGTTCAAATATAGCGCGGCATTCTAACGCGGTTGCCGCGCGCGGCTAGTCACGCTTTAATTGGACGACGGCCGCAAATGCCGAACGTTTAGTGTTCGCTGTTGGTTCGCCGGTGGTTGTGTGTAGACGGACTTGTTTTTTTAAGTGAACTGGATAGCGAAACAGCAATTTGTCTTATTGAAATATATGGCTCCTATAGTTATGGGATGCTAGACGTAAACAATCTATACATTTAATAAATCTGTAGAAAGGTCGAGTCTGTAATTCTAATATTTGCTGGAAAAAAACAAGTACATGGGGCTAAATAAAGCCACTAAATAAGGCCACTGAAAGCAAATTAGTGGTTTTTAGAGTGTTTGTCTGTCTGTCTGTCTGTTTATTCAAGATTCACGCGTAAACTACTTTAAAGATTTCCATGAAATGTTGTGTGTAGGTAGATAGGGACCCAGGGCTACTTATAGGATACTTTTTATCAGATTACGAAACTATAAAAAAGGAGGGTTAAGTATTTTCCTTCCTTTAGATGTTAATTTCTATTTTAAACGATTGATGTGTTTTATTAAAATAAATAAAATATTTTAAAATATGTATAAACAAAATTCAAAATAAGTTTAAAAAAGAAAAAGAAATTTGTAAAAAAATATCGCAAGGAAACCTGCATATCTAAGAAGTAAAAAAATGTTTCGGAAATCATTTTTACTGCATATTTTTATTATTTTGAGCTACGAACAGAAAGACGCTGCTGCCCGAATTTAATTCTTCTTACACGTTCACCGTAAATGGAACTGCCAATACTGTCATGTGGTGCTGAATTTCAATGGTTGAATAAAACGGTATCGCGTTTATTTAACTGATTTTACTTATTTTTAATTCCTGACGTTTCGGGTGCTTTACAGCAACCATGGTCACGGGGGGACTATCCCCCCGTGTCGTGTCATGTCAGAACATATTATTTTTCC